TTTGATATAAAAATCGCCTTTAATTGGATGGGAAATTCTAATAATTTCTATTCCATATTTTTAATGTTTTGGTGATATTCCTGAAACAGCAAAATAATTTTTTTTGTAAACCTCTGCGTTTCTCTGATTCTTATATTCATAATAATCTTAGTAAAAAATTAAAATTCTTTGAAATGATGCAAAGTTCACTCTCTTACTAAAAATTTGTAATTTTCCAATGTTACAAGTCATATTTCGGCTGAGATATTATGATATAAAATAAAAATGTCTAACGATTAATTATCAAATTTAAATTTCCCGCTTTAGTGAAATGTAAATGGCCGCTCATTTGCGTGGGAAATTTGAACATGTAATTTTTACTCCATTTTTTTTATATTTGACCATGAATAAAACCAAGAATAAAATATACAGTCTTTTCTACAGTTTACTTGTTTGTACTTTATCACTGTCCAAATGCAATTAATTTCGTTTCTTGTTTGGTTTATAAAATTTCATTCAGGAATAGAAATTCAACGGAAACCCGATTTTTTTCAACATCCCCCTACACACGCAAAAAACGCAATTTTTATTTTAAGTGCTTTTACTCATTCATTACCGAATCGGAAACGCGTCATTTGCTTCGTAATTTTAAAATCTTTTCTTACTTTCAAATTCAGGAAATTGGCGCGAAAATTGGCCACTTGCCACATTTCTCGAAACTATTTAGATAAGATTTTACAGAATAAGGAAAATATTCTGTTAATAATTAGTGTCAAAGTTCATCTACAATTATGATTTGTATCAGTGGTTTTGTGTCCAAATTTTTTATCATAGAGTTATGTAATGTGCGACAGTTGATTCCGGTAGAATTCTCTTGTAATTTTAATAACTTATTAATAGAATTAGCCTTAAATATCGTCAAGATAAATAAAAAGATATAAGTAAACAAACTCAGATAAACAATTGTTAAGTTTAGAAACCTCATTACTGCGACCACTGATATGAAATTCCGATCAGATTCTCATTTGTTATATAAGTATCGGTAACCATGCAACATTTGACAGCTGTTAAATTTCATCACTGTCAATAAAAACCCCCTAAAAGCCGAATTTAGTGCCAACTTTATCACCAGACCTTGTCTTAATTTCGCCCCATTAAGCCACTTTGTTAATGTGTTTTTTCGAGTATGGAGCACGTGTCTAGATAAAAAAATCGCTCTAATGGCCTCACCTTACTCCCATTATCTAGCATCGTGTCCGTGACCACGACTTTTTTCCCATTAACCGTCCCATTAACCACGAATCCGTGATTCTCCCGCGGACTTTTGAACCATTCGGAGACGGTGATGGTGAAGTCCAGTTTGACCCAGTCTCCCCTACCGTACGGTTGGGTCACTTTCTTGCTGACCATCCTGTAGAGGCCTGGCGTGTCAGGATGATCGGGGGCTTTGTACACTTTAAACACTTCGATGAGGACGTCGGGGAGGGGCCGACGCTCGGCGCCCTTTACGTACACATACAGGGTGGCGTTGCTCACGTGGTATTTGGTGATGCCGTCCGAGAACATGAAGTGGAGGATGTCGTGGCCGCGCCAGCTGTGCCTCAGTCTTGGATCTAAAAAATACAATTTTAATTAAAAAAAAATGACCACTCGTTGAAATAGTGGCAGGTTTTGTTGTGTCATTCAAATTATTATTATTCTTAAATATGTAAGATAAAGTGTTAATTTAAATAAATATGAGAAAAAAAAGTCTCCTGAAACAGAAATTGTAGAATTCAATTTTAACCTTGAACGTCAACGACAATTTAAAACAGATAATTATAAAAAACATTTTTTTTT